AATGGGGTCGATTCTGTTTAACTATATGCCTACTTTAATAAAAAAAATATATATTGAAGTATTTACACATAGGCCTATATCTTACCCATTAACATAGCATAGTTAGAAGAATGCGTTTTAATGTGCGTGATGGTACAAGGTGCATGAGAGCAACAAGTGCGTTGTTGCTGGATCCTCAGTGACGCCTAGTGTTGAAAGACAGCATTGTCTCTGTTTCCGTAAATTACTTTACATTCAATAATATCGAAATAAACACATGTCAGGACGGGACATTACGATGAGGGAAAACTAAAGATTTCATGCATGGTCATCTAGTAGGGTCCCATTGCAAAGCGGAAGGGGAAACGTTCCTGATCACCTGATCCCATACATAATTCATAGGCCTACCCCCTGTAAGCTATCATTCTTGTTTTTTTTTTGCATGTACGATTTGAGGAATAATATTAGCTTTGCAAGTAACACTGATGATTGTTTGCAAACAGGATTCCCACACTCCCCTTCCTCCAGGCAGCACATTTTGCTAACACCTCAAAAGCTATAGCAAAGTTGCTGACCTAAACTTGCTTACCTGTAAATATATCCCAACAGTTCTCTTAAAATCCTCCACCTCGTGCATTCCATTGCTCATGTAATAGGCCTACTGAAATCCTTGTCATTGGTCTATATTCATTTGGTGATAGCGAAGGAGTGTTATTTCTCTTTACAGCGCCTTTGTTATAGGTAATTGCCCTAAAAACGACATTACAGTCAGTCACGCTAAAAATAAATACAATATAAACACAAGTACTGAACTTTTATTATTTTGTTACTGCAAAAGCCAAATTAACTATTTTAAATTCATTCATTGCAAACCTAGGCCCAGCCAATTCATCTAAAAGTTTAGTTCACCTTCCCATCATAGTATTGAGAAAAAAATAATAATAAAAAAATGTATGTAGGCCTATATCGTTTGTCTACGTTTTGTAATACATGTCAAGACATAAAGTTTCAAGAATTTATTCTTTGTCCATCGTATGTATGCACATATAATGTTTATACATACAGTACAACATATTCACAATATGAGGGTGGCATGACAGATCACTAAACAGAATCAAAACCGTATAAAATAAATCCTAATTAGATAAGACAAATAAATAAGTACATAAATAAATAAATAATAGTATAAATCAGATATATATCTATATCTATAGGACTCAAATTGTGTCTGCATGCTTACAGGAAAATCCTCATCAAATAGACTAAAATAAAAACAAGGGGCTTTGATATTGTACATGAGTTCATGAGGCTACTTGACTTCAACCAACAGAAAAATTCAAAGATTGTGTTAACCAATAAAATTAGGAAGCACTTTTATAGACTCGCACACACACACACAGGCTCTCACACACAACTATTTACCATACATATACATACATTCTTTAAAAGAGACTCACACCTGTGTGCATTTAACACGCAAACACGCTCACAAATACACGCGTAAAACATCACCACTGGAGACCCTGAATTTGCTGCAATCGCTTCATCTCTGTCTTTTCCTGAGAGTTTAACGCTAGCTTAGATCACCCGACATGGCCGACCAGGCAGTCACACGGTCCTCTCAGTCACAACCCTTTTGAGCACAAAGCTTACAAAAACTTCCCCCTGTGCCTCAACACAGTATTAAAACACACATTAAATTAAGTCACTGTAATTGCTACTGGAAAGACATAATCTTGTGAACGATGATGAAAAGCTTGCATTTTATTAGAACTCCCTTTCTAGTGTCATTTTTTTGCAGTCGTCTCATTGATGTACCTGTACTTGTCTACATAAAAATCCACAGAAGGCCCCAAATCTATGTTAGAAAAATGATTAGTAGGTTTATTAGTATTTTATACACTAAAGAATATAATAATGTGCCTAAATGTCCCACATATGACTAAACAGATTTTAAAATAGGAAGAACTGTTTAAGAGTGGCCAAGCGTTCACAATAGCAAGCATCAGGAATGACAAGAAACCGAAATGGCTACAGAATAGTGAAGGCAATTGTTCATTAGCAATGAATCAGTTTACAGAATCTCTACATCAAAATAATGTAGAAACATTAGAATTTTATATGAGTATTGCTTTTAGCTTAAAATACCCTGTAATGTGGTAATAATTTCCCAATTGAACTACAAAAAAAGAAAGACAAAAAGAAAAAGAAAGAGAAAGGGCAGGGGTGGAAGTGAAAAAACTGCAAAACGTTCTGCTCCTCTGAGAAAAAACAGAAATGCTAGAAGACAACAGGATACAGTATTTCTAAATGATAAGATGAACTGAGAGAGAGAGAGAGAGAGAGAGAGAGAGAGAGAGAGAGAGAGGGAGGGTTTACCTACTTCACATGGCTAGGAACATAATTCACTATGATCACATCTCTTCAGATCATCAGATTAAGACAGTGTGTGAAAGAGGGAGACAGATGGGAAAGACTGCAGAGAAGTAAAACATTAAACCTGCTATAAAAATCCCTTCAATCCTCAAGGGAAAAGGTACAGGCAGATTATATTACAAACCCCCAGCCCATTCCAATCAGAGTGAATACGCTTATGCTTATTATTCGTCATAAATCTGTGTAGAACTGTTACAGTATCTCACAAAAATGAGTACACCCCTCACATTTCAGCAAACATTTTAGTATATCTTCTCAAGGGATAATACTATAGAAAGGAAACTTGGTATATATTTACTGTCCTCTGAAAATAACTCAACATACAGCCATTATTGTCAAAATAGCTGGCAACAAAAGTGAGTACACCCTAAGTGATAATAGCTGTACGTCGTTTAATCATGCAAAGCCACATGTCCTATTCATCATTTTCATGTTTTTGTCTGCTTGACAGGACCATTCAAATTTGTGTATCTTGTATTAGAGCAGTTAAAATTTGTGCTTTGAGTACAATTCTCTCATACTGACCACTGGATGTTCAACATGGCACCCCATGGCAAAGAAATCTCTAAGGATTTGAGTTGACCTAGGCTATAAGAAGATTGGTAACACCCTGAAACTGAGTTACAGTACAAGCCCTGGTAAGGAGTACCAAGAACATTGTGTCTTGCCTACAGTCAAGCATGGTGGTAGTAGCATCATGGTCTGGGGCTGTATGAGTGCTGCTGGTACTGGAGAGCTGCACTTCATTGAGGGAAACATGGATTCCAACATGTACTGCGACATTCTGAAGCAGAACATGATGCCCTCCCTTCAGAAACTGGGCCGAACGGCATGATAACGACCCCCAACACACCGCCAAGATGACAACTGTCTTGCTGAGGAAGCTGAAGGTGAAGGTGATGAGGTGGCCAAGTATTTCTCCAGACCTAAACCCCATTGAGCACCTGTGGTGATCCTCCAGCGGAAGGTGGAGAAGCGCCATGTGTCCAGCAGCTCCATGATGTCATTATGGAGGAGTGGAAGAGGATCCCAGCAACAACCTGTGCAGCTCTGGTGAATCCCATGCCTAGGAGGATTAAGGCAGTGCTAGAGAACACTGGTGCTTTGGACACCATTTTGACATGGTCACTTAGGGTGTACTCACTTTTGTTGCCAGCTATTTTGACAATAATGGCTGTATGTTGAGTTATTTTCAGAGGACAGTAAATATATTCTGCTATACAAGCAGCACATTGACTACTCTAAAATATATCCAAGTTTCATTTCTATAGTATTGTCCCTTGAGAAGATATACGAAAATGTTTGCTGACATGTGAGGGGTGTACTCACTTTTGTGAGACACTGTAAATGATAAAGTATATATGTGCGTATATGCACATGTTTATCTATATGGAGAGAGAAGGTCAGCCGATGGCTCTGAGAGAGGTCGCTATGCATGTGGAAACATGTCTGTGTGTATATGTGATAACAAACAAAGTGTATGTAACCACATGCATACAAACGAAAAATATTATATATAAAGTGGCTGAGCTCCAAATGGTGTGTGTGCAAAGGATCTAATTCAGGGTAGACATTTAATTTGACGTGAATGAAAGCGATGCTGTAAAGGAACAGTTAAGCTATTAATGATAATATGATGTGAGGTGTAAAGAAATGCTGCTGTAATCTAAAAAAAAAGGTCAATAGTTATATTCAGTAGTATATAATTAAGCACTGCAACAACAAAAATAATTCTTAATGAGTTTTTTTTACCCTACTTTCCAGTTAAAATACTTAGAAATTCTTGAAACAAGATACATTTTGAGAAGCAACACTGTATAAGACACAAAATAATTTCAGAGAATGCATCTGCATGGCAGATTTTTATTTTCACTTTTTCTTTTAAATATAAACACGTTTAAAATGAGTGGAAACAATCTGTGTTGTTAGACAAACAAGTTTGGGGTCACTAAGATGCTCTTTTTATGAAAGAAAATAATACTTTTATTCAGCAAGGATACATTACATTAATCAAAAGTAAATAATTTTGTAATGTTGCAATAGATTTCTATTTTAAATAAATGTTGATAAATATGAACTTTCTATTCATCAAAGAAAATGTATTACTGTTCCCACAAAAATATTAAGCAGCACAACTGTTTTCAACACTGATAATAAAAAGAAATGTTTCTTGAGCACCAAATCAGCATATTATGACTGAAGACCAGAATTATGATGCTGAAATTCAGAATATATTAAAATAGAAAAGTTATTTTAAATTGTAATAGTATTTCACAATATTACCGGTTTCACTGTATATTTATTAAATAAATTAAGCCTTGGTGAGCATTAGAGCATAAGAGCATATTAACAACATTAAAAATCTTACTGACCCCAAACTTATTAAGTATTAATATTTTATGCAGTGTTGCTTGTCAAAGAAAAAATCAAAAAACATTTTGACTGGAAACAAGGTCCCTTCAGTGAATCTCAACCATTTCCACCACTGCATGTTCAGGATGGTTCATTGGTTGTACTGGTTTTCCAGCGGACAAAACCAACAGGAAACCATGGGACGTGAAAATTAGATTAACCATACAACCTACAGCTTCGCTTTCATTTTCATAAAATGAAATAAGGCGTTAATAAGTCCTGACTAAAGTCTTGGGTGTCACAGAAATATGATGCATCTATGTTGGATGTCATTTTTTAAATAATGAAAGGTCAAATTACAACTACTGTGCTATCATGGTGCTGGTGTATGTCTCTCGTAATATACAGTGGTCTTAGCATTAGGCAAATATAGATCTGTGGGACGTGTTGTGCTCATGGCAGAATTCATGTGTGAGTGCGTTTTCATGTTTGGCAGTTTCATAGTCTGGTCTGGGCCTCAGGTATATAGATCTCGATGCTGTCTGCGCTCTCTGTGGCCGAGTTCTGCCGCACAGAAGCGGCTCGCTTGGCCGCCATCAAGCGCTTGCGTGCCTCCTGACGCTGCTTCTCTGTGCTCTCCAGCGAGCGGTCTCTGGCCAGGGGAGGGTGGCCTTTCGGGGGTTTCTTTGGCACTGGGGGAGGCAGCCGTCTCTCCTGAACAGGGATGACAAACAGTCAGTTAGCCGCCGCGGCGGGCGGAGAAAGACGAGCGGAGACAGCAATATGGCACACCTGCACACAGACAGTGCTAAGGCCAGCCGCGGCTCCGCGGCCGACTGCGTGCGGTAAGAGAACGGCCCGGCGGGGGTGAGAGCTTGGGGGCCGCTGCCCCCATGGTGCGTGCCAGATGGAATGACTTCTGAAAACAGCTCACTGTCAAACAAACAAACAAACAAAACAAACATGAAGAGGATGTCAGGAAATTAAGAGTGAGTGAGAGAAACATTCACAGTCACATTAGACCAACAGACCGACATGAGGCACAGGGAGGCAAGAGCAACACTTTATAATCGTTCACAATAACATTGTGGATTTTGGAGGTTTGTTATTGCCAGTGCCCACCCCTGAATGCATAATATCACACTACAGAAGCAACAGATCATGCACATGAATGAAAAAAACGCAATGTTGCCCTTCGATCAGGCATCTGGCATGTCAATGACTCTGTACTGATTCTGCAAGTTTGTTGTACCTTTCTCTCGGGGGGGTCGAGGGGTCTCCAGTTATTGGCTTTGAGCTGGTGAAGCTCATCGAACTTTAGGCTGATATTCTCAATGGAAAGTTGAAGCATGTCCCAGAACCCTGCTAGATCTTGAGCCACTGGCCGCGGGTGAGCATTTAGGTTCTGTTGAGCCAAGAGTTACAGAAGCGGAAGAGGGAAAATGATATATGACTATTAGTTTTCTTTGGAGCTGGTGTGCTCATCGCAAAAGTTGCAAAGGTATCCACAGTTCCATTCCTTTCCAAAGAGCCAAAGCTGATCCAAAACTACTGTTCAAAAGTTTGGGGTTGGTAAGATTTTTTTTTAAAGTTTTGAAAGAAGGTTTACCAAAGCTGCATTTATTTGATCAAAAATACAGTAATTGTAATATTGAGAAATATTATTAAAAATTAAAACAACTGTTTTCTATTTAATATATTTTAAAATGATTTCAAGTAGCCATTAGTGTCACATGACCCTTCAGAAATCATTCCAATACGCTGATTTGGTGCTCAAGAAACATTTCTTCTTATTATTATTATCAATTTTTTTGTGGAAACCATGAAACATTTTATTCAGGATTCTTTGATGAACAGAAAGGTCAAAAGAACAACATTTATTTGAAATAGAAATCCGTTGTAACATTAAACTAACATTATAAATATATTTACAGTCACTTGTAATCAATTTAATGTGTTCTTGCTGAATAAAAGTATTAATTTATTTTCTCAGAAAAAAAAAACCTGACCCCAAACTTTTAAAAAGGTATTGTAAGTTGCCTTTGTCAAATAAATATTTATTATCATTACTATTAGTACTCACCAGATTTTCCTCACACAGCTCCCTGAACTGCTGAAACTTCTGGGACATAAGCAGCTGTGCACTTCCCACTGCACTGCGGATCTTCCCCAGAACTGAACCACACACACACACAAGCATCAAATACATGCATAATAACACTAGAAACAAAGGATTCTGCACATTCTGAAACTTGACAGGCTTGAAAGAAAAGAGCTCTATTATGATTATAATTAGGAGAGACTAAAGTTTCAGGTGATGTCAGCATTTCTTAAAACAATGCCTGAGATTTCAGGCAAACAGTGTGAGGACCAGAATGTCCAGCAGGGGGCAGACGACTTCAATTTATCTCAATAAACAGTTTTTGCACTTTTGCATGTGGTGTTTCAGCAAAAAATCTGCGTCTTTAATCACCTGGCTGCAAGCCATATTTAATTTAGCTGTATTCAAATTAAAAGTCATTGGCATTATAATTAGTGCAAAGATGCCCACTGAGCACCGAAACAATGCACAGATCACACAAAACTAACCAGAATAATGTTTAAAATGATATTTTACTTTCTTTAAAGATGAGATTTATATAGACATTACGGGTAAAATCAGTCACTCACTGTCATCAGGTAGCTTGTTTTCCTTCTCATCGTGCTCCATCTGCCTGCACCAGCCCTCCATGCGCTCCGTCTCCGCTAGCAGCAGCTTGAGGAACCAGCGGCCGTCACGCTGGCACACCGAGCGGCCCACGATTTCCAGGGGATCTTCTGTTACGCTATCAATCCAGGGGTCAGGTGGAGGCAGGATGGAGGGATCAAACCCAACGTCATCATAGTCGTCTGAGGTGCAGGCATGGTAGTGATTCCCTGAGCCCTGGATGCTGACGGTGGAGGTGGCGGCATCACGCGAGTACTGCCGTGACAAGCAGCCCGAAGAGGGGAACTCCGTGACAGGAGAGTCAGCTGGTGTGTAGTCCGGAGTGTCCAGATCAGCCTGCACTGCTGCCGTCACACTGTTAGAGCGGGTGAACCGCCGGTGACTGAGGCACAGAGCAAAGAAAGAAAGAAGGAAGGAAAGAAAGAAAGAAATTCATACCGGTATATAGTAACTACTTCACACACTTCTAGGATGAAAATGGATTTCATTTCTGTAATAATATTCGTTTTGGTAATTGTTTGGGGGGCATCAAAATGTAAAAAAATGTCAGGGTGATACAACTGTCCCAGTATCATAATGAAGATAAAAGTCTCATTTAATATTAAAAAGCTTGGTATCAAAAGTTTGGCATCATCTTTTATTATATTGATTTTATTAGCACAAAATTTTCTTAGAAAAAATATTTTAAGAAAAACTACACTGTTAATTAAAGGGATACTCCAGCCAAAAATGAAAATTCTGTCATCATTTACTACAAACAGTTGTTTGGCACCATTGACTTACATAGTAGAAAAAAAAAATACTATGGAAGTCAATGGTGCCAAAGTTCCAATAGTTCTTCAAAATATCTTCCTTTGTGTTCAGCAGAAGAAAGAAACTCATACAGGTTTGCAACAACTTGAGGGTGAGTAAATGATGACAGAATTTTCATTTTTGGGTGGAGTATGCCTTTAAGATTTGAAGTCATGTGGTGCCACCAACATGCAGAAAAAACTATAAATAATGACCCCGGCAGACCCTCGTGAATATATGTCGAGGTCAACATGTCTCTCAGATGTAAAATGCCACTTGGTGTGACTCCCCAAAAACCTAATGATATTTAATGAATAATAACTCATGATATTTGTTTTTGTAAAAAAAGAAAAACATACTTTTTAGCTAACATTTTTTAAAATAACAATGAAATGATCAAAACAATAACGATTAATGGCATTACGTTTTTTTTAAACCATATGAAACTAACATGAATATAACTTGACATGTGTTTTCCTTTCCTTTTAAAAGATGTTTTAATTTTCTTCTTCATTTATTTAAAAGGGACAATGCATATGAATGAACATAGCTTTTCAGCAATGTACATATGCCAAAATTAGCCCCCAGGCTATTTTACATTTGTAGTCCCATGTGAGGTCATCAAACAGTACCTAATAACACAGCTAAACATTTAATTTAAACATGATTCAAGTTAATTTAAAAGACACACAATTAACAGCAACATATAAGAAATGACGCAATTAGTAAAGGCCTTACATTTCATTGCCACATCAGCTCTGTCTCAAAACACGAGCTGCCTACAGCCTACATGAGCTACTGTCTACGTAGATACCATTTGTACCACATTAGAAACTGGTTTGAGATGCTGTTTACAGGCACAAACATCATTAACAGCTATTTATTTAGGAGACAAATAACACCACTCAAGTGATTTACAAAAGAGACTGATACAAAGCACACAGCTAGCGATAATTTAATAAAACGATGTAGCAAACATGAAAATTGGATGAAATGCATCTTTTAAAGCTGGTTTCCTGTCAACACTTTTCAGTAATAACATAATAAACATTTACACTCTCCTTTAGCTTTGTTCCACCATATTTAATGAAATTGTTTTGCTGAGCTTGTCACAATGAATTGTGGTACTGCCTTATCAAAAGAAACGTGGCACTTCATATTTAGCCAAAAATTAGGTCTTTTAGGATGCAGCATAATCGGTTGTTTACAATTTCTGACATCAGGAGCACGTCTATGGTGCCTAAAAATACAGTCTAGCTAGGCAGTTTTGAGAAGAGCCTCGGTGTGCCAGCTTTAGCGCTCTGGGATAATCCTGTCCCTGCTCAATACGTTTAATAAAGTGAAAGTGTCTCCCTAATACAGAGTTCCTTAATCCTTAATTTTAATGCACTCTCTCACCATATGCAGTGTGCGGTGTAACAGCTGAAGGGGATAAACAATACTTTTCAGAATGCAACAATATTCACCACTCCACTAATCTTTAGATTGAAGCGATTTGATAAAATACATATTTTAGAACCAGTAAATTGTCTTAGAGGAAATGGAGCACTAGAGGACACAAAGACCAGGTGATAATGCAAAGGTGAGTGGAATAATTTTGATTCTTTATTACCCATAACAACAATGATACAGCTCAACATTAAAGACGGAAGTGATTTGGAAACATTAGATTATTTAATAATTAAAAAATCTATACTGATATGAATATTGGGGGCATCCTCAATGTTAATGTTTCTGTCCTGAATCACTGGAAGCTAACCAGACATTAACAGCACAGAGCAGATTGGAACAGATTTAGTGTCAGTAGCAACAAATTAAGAATTTGTTCTCTCTGGTTTTAGTAAATCGTGGCCACCTTTTACTAATTGGTTCACTCGTTTTAGTTAAATCATGGCCACAAATTAACTTGTTTCGCCAAGTGTGTAGTGCAAATGCAGATATCAGTTATGGGTCACTTTTAAAAGAAGATCAGATATAGCCAACAAATCAGAATTGGGCATCTAGACCTGCAGTGTAAATGTGGCCATAGACTTACCCATGCTCTTCTTCAACCTGAATCCCCACTGACTGGAACTTGGACTGGTCCTCTAGTTCCTGGTCCTCAGGCCCATCCACCTGTTTAAACGCATTACACAGTAAACCAGCCACATCCACACTCATTTGAAGAATCATCTACTAAAATGATGTTCTAATAGCCAACAGGACTGATCAAAGTATGAAAACAATGCTGAATAGTTTCTCACTCACCTGGATGCCAATGGAAAGGCACCTGCTCTTCCTGAGCACATCCCTGCGGATGTCTTCCAGGACTGGTATGGGTATGGGAACAGGAACAGGCATGGGCAGCGGAGAGGATGGGGTGGTGCTGATGGTGATGGTGCTGTTGCTGACGTGCTGACTGACAGGGCCGTGGATCTGAGCGTTGGCCGCCTCGATGGCTGCCGTCAGCGCTTTCATGCTGTCAATGCTCTCGGTGGAATTGCTCAGGCCGGAGTGGAGGACGGGCTCACCCCGCGTACCGGGACCGTCCATGTAAGCGTCCTGCGCAGACTCCGTGCTGCTCTGGGCCGTGATGGAGATGAAGGGCTTGGTGGAGGTGCGAGGAGGTACCGGTGGAGGAGTCTTCTTGTAGGTGGTGATACATGATGATACTGTAGACAGAAAATTACACATTCATTTCGCAGATGCTTTATAACTTAGAAAAACGGATGCAATATAAACTTAAAAAAAATATGTAAATGGTTGAAACAGCTATAAGGCATTTTGAAGCCCTTGCAAGAAAAAACAGGGTTTTATATTAAGACTCAGGATACATACTTCCAATTCACCATGGCTGTCTCCAAAAAAAATCACTAATGTCCAAAAGTTTGGGGTCGGTAAGTTTTTTTTTTCATGTTTAATGTAAGAAGTCAATTTATGCTCACCAAGGCTGCATTTATTTGATCATGAATACAGTAAAACAGTAATAATGTGAAATATTATTACAATTTAAAATAACGGATTTATATTCGAATATATTTAAAAGTGTAATCTTGTGATGGCAAAGCTGGATTTTCAGCATCATTACTCCAGTCTTCACTGTCACACGATCCTTGAGAAATCATTCTAATATGCTGATTTGGTGCTCATTTCTTATTATTAATGTTGAAAACAGTTGTGGTGTTTAATATATCTGTGGAAACGGTGATACTTTTATAGGATTCTTTGATGAACAAAGTAAAAAAAAAGAAACTGCATTTTTGAAATATAATGTTAACAATGTAAATTATTTACTGTCACTTTTGATCAATTTAATGCATTGCTGATGAATAAAAACAATAAAATCTGACCCGAGACTTTTGAACTGTATTGTAAGTGTGTGCATGAGTAATTCAAAGTAGGTACAGCAAGATAATCTTATGTCTAAACCAGAGAATCCTGATTGCTAATGTGACGAAAGCAAATCTTCTGAATGTAAAACCAGTGTCGTGGATCTCCGTAAATATCTTACATATTGTGAATGCATATCTTGCAGTAACTTGCCGTTACTTGAATGAAAAGTCAATGCCGCCCACTGTTATGCTGGTGGTTTTTAAGTTTTCTCCAACACACAGAGCTAAGCACATTAAAGAGGCCAGGAATGTTTTGCTGGAGTCATGGGGAATAAGAGATAAGACTCAGAACAGACCATGCTTCCAACATGACTCTGTGAGCTAATCTTTTGCCTTTGCTAGAACCTTGAATCTGGCAGTAAAAAAGTGCTTTCACAAACCATGGATTTGCATAAGATTTGTCTCGTAAACCATTGCAGGTCAAGCTCAGCTGCCACATAGATACGGGTCTGCGATCCGGCAACAGATTCAAATTCTGGATGTTTCCAATGTACAGCAGTGTGAGCTAATTGATCATCGCGGAGTTCTGAGATAGACCTCTGCCATGTGCACTTTACTGGTGGTAGACATGCAATATTCAGACTTATTCTGACAATAATCTCACAGATTATTACAAATACAGTAATGACTTATGACAGTATAGGCATAAACAATTATAATTATGAAATAAATAGAACATTTCAATATAAGATAATTATATCCCTAAAAAAGGTAATATATAACATATGAAATGCAATATAAAATAATACGTTTATATAATATTAGTTAATTATTAACATATTGGTGTAAAATATGCACATTTATTATCTTTTCACAATATTATATGACCAGCAGGGGCCATCACGTTAAAATACTCATTGCATTAATTTGAATTTTATTAATAATCCTTAAACAGCTTCTGATATAGAGTATGATTAAATATTCACTTATTAACATACTTATGGAAGAATCCTATTATATTAGCGTGCCATCTGTTGACATTGAAAGTGTTATCTTGAAGTGCTACTGCTTGACAAAGTGCTGGTGGAGCACTGACTCATTTCCTCCAGCACTTCACTTCAAAGAGAGAAACAGGCTAAACATGAAATCCCTAAACGATGGCTGCATGAAGCTGCAGATAGAGGTGTGTGTTGTGAGATAAACAGTGAGAGAGTCTTTGTGAGCAAGGCATATATTTTTCTTATTTTGTTTTCTTCAAAATAACCACAAGGGGGCAGGCTAGAGTGAGACAGAGACCAGCTGTTAATGTCCTGTCTGATTTCACTTCCTCTTTCTCCTACTCTTTGGTTTTTCTATTCCAATACATTTAATGACTTCTTTTTTTTTGTCAAAAAGCATACCGTTGATTTGTCATATTTTGCCATTGTATTAACCATCAGTTCGTTTTGAGAGGGACTTTTTTTCTTTCTTCTTTTGTTTTTATGTCCTAAATATAAAACGTACATGTGAAATTATTAATAATTCATAATAAATAAATTATTTATTAATTTAGATAAATAATAATAATAATAAAATGAAATTTCAATTAAATTCGAGCACCTCTGACTTATTTATGTTGTTTCTGTTTGGGGTCAAAGGAACCACAGAAAGAAAACAAGAGTCTTAGCATGTCCATTCATTCATTCATACTAATAAAGCACTTTACAACTGCCCGTGCAGACCAAAGTACTGTGCAATCAACATAAATAGCATACAACATAAAACAAGATAACCCAAAAAGGTATCAACTAAAACATACGCACACACAAGCCCAACTCCTTAAAAGCTAAAGCTTCATTCATGTTCATGCATTTAGTCATGTTTTGTATCTGACCCCAAACATAAGTCAAATTTTTCATAGACCTTTTTATAATGTTATTGTTTATAATGAATTCCCATTAAAGAGAGAAAGGAATGAGATATCAACCTGATGACACTTAATCTCAATGTTAAATATGTTTCAAGCTATTAAATGACCTGAAATGGGGTCTTAGAGATGTGAGACAAGAGGTTTAAAAAAACAGTCAAGATACAATATAAAAGCATCATTATCCTTTGTACGTTATTCATGTTTATGATACCAGTCATGCTAAATAACACAGGCTATGAAACCAGCCCATAACACTCTTTTACAGGCATTCAGACGAGTTCATATGAAGCTCATTTTTGGCACATATGAAAAATATATTTAACATACCCGCAGGTTTCACAGACAAGGCCCAGACTAAAAGGCATGTTTGAGCTGTTTTAACTGAAAGGAACTTGCACTTACATATGTGCAACAGTAATGATTTTTTTTTATGTGGCAGGAATTGACTTTCATAAGTTCCCCTCTTGAATTACCTTTTAAATCTAAAGATAAAACGGTGTTGTTCACAGGAACAATCTATCACATTTTCCCTGCCAAGGTAGACATTCTTGTTTGCTTCTTTAACAACCAGTTACACGCATGTGTTTGAATAGCAGAATTCACCTCCGCAAACAACAGTATCAAAGAGTGCATATACACACAATTAATTCAACCGACTTAATCTTGGTCTCGCGCGTCTTCATTTGTTCACATCCCTCCATCCACGCAGAGGTTCACACTCGACTCTGCAGCCAAAACAAATGGTTCGTTTCAACTCAAGAAGTCAAGCTAGTAAGATCAGGACAAACTTCTGCTCTCGAGCTGCAGTGTGTGTTGCTGAGATAACAGCCTGCAGATCAGATGCTGCTCCAGCTCTAGAGAGTTCTGTCACCCTCTCCTCTAATTTCACCCCCTCCCTCTCTAATCAACTCTCTTTTCATGGTCCACCTGGGTTTGTAGTGATACAGGGGATCAGTAAAGCTGCACTGTTGTAAACCGTGATTGTTTTTGTATAATTACCAGCGAGACTGCTGCTGATTGTGTCATTATCTTTGGCGTTTGTTGTTATACCAAAACAGATGTTCACAGGAGTGTCTGACAATTAATATCAAAAGCGTCCAATCTACAATAACTGGGAAAGACAGAATGTTGATGCACTGTAAGAACGGTCATAGGGTTCCTCACATAATTAGTGTACAGAATAGCATATAGCATGAAACAGAGGTTATGAAACTGGCAGGAGGTTACAGTAGCAGCACGGATGATGATTCTAATTGGCCACTTATAATATCTGGAGAAAGCAGAAAACATCTCAAAGGCAGAAAAAGGGGAGAGGCTGCTCTCTGCAGAACAAATGGGTGGAGCTTATGTCTAGCTCCTCCTCGCTAGATGTCCAGCGAGGAGGATCGAATGTAATTTGGGCCTAATGGGTGGAGCTAAAATATCCAACCACACCCTAACCCTACCCACAACTCTATCCCTCTACCCCATTAGACATCTAGAGAGGTGGAGCTGAACGTCATTGACTGCAGTGAGCACCACTTGGAAAAAGTGTCAATCAGAAGTATGCAAACTGCTCAATGCTATCTTCGCTCATAAGCCCACATTATTTTGAGCCAATCACTTGAGTCATAAATTACATGTGACTCTGAAGCCACAAGAACATGACATCATAACAACTCAGCCCCAAGCCCCACGCTAGTGACTACCCTGCTAGACTAGTGTGTGAGCTGTGATGTAAAAAGAAAAAGATGGGGAGAAATGTCTACATCTGTTTTTTTTTTTGTTTTTTTTGCCATCAACCTATAAACAGATTTTATGAAACGCACTACGTTTCAAATGTTTGGGGTCAGTGCGATTTTTTTATGTTTTTGAGAGAAGTCTCTTACGCTCACCAAGGATGCATTTATATTTAATATCTTTGTGGAAAGAGAGATACATTGTTTTTAGGACTCTTTGACGAATAGAAGGTTAAAAAACTATTTATTTGAAATAGAAATCATTTGTTGAACTTTCATTATAAATGCCTTTAAATGTCACTTTTGATCAATGTAATGCAGTCTATCTGAATAAAAAAAGTAAAACTTTTGGTAGTGTATATAATTTTATGAAATATTTGCACTTATATGTTGCTGGCAAAATCATTTTTGAATAGTCATCAATAGACAAAATGCTTTTCAGCAGCATAATGGTGTAGTCACAGCATTTTCCAGCAGGGGCTAACGGGCCAATGCAAGTCAGCCAAACCTTTGACCCCTTGATCCCTTGATTTTAACATATCACTTTGCATTTTTTATTCAATAGTTTCTCTGTCATTTTCAGGTGTAAATTATTGTCCATAATCACGGCAGTATCACATAGACAGCAACGTCCTCTTAATTTTCCCCAGGTAGCAATGAACCGAACAGAGGCATTTGTAATTAAATGAATGATCAGTAAAAATAAGAAAAAA